GCGAACACAGGCTCTGCCGATCGTTAAATTGGCGTTCTAACCACTAAGCTATCTTGGGGGCAAGATGGCTCAGTGGTTACAGAGCGAATTTACTGCCGGAAGGTCCGTGGTTCGGACCAGGCCTCTGCATCTCAACTTCTGTCTAGGCATGGATAACCTCGTGTCCTCGTGCTTCTCTCTGGTGGCATGGCAGTTTGTCAGGACAACAGATCGGTTCAATCCGGTTTATCAGCTATAACCCATGTAGCAGAGGTACCTGAGTTCCCAGCTGCTGAAGCTCTGGCTACCGGAAAATGAGAGCACAGGGAAGATACAGGAAATCATTGCAGGTGACGGTAAAGTCAGTATGTTCCGAAAACCGGGCAGCTATGCTTCGAAGGCGATAGCTTTGATGCACAAGCGAAGTGTTAGTTCCGAACACCGACGTTATGCTGTCGATAATAATGATTATGGCTAGGGAATTCAGATATATCTGCTAATGTCACTAGCAATCGGTGAGCTGAGTCCCGGGATCCGTAACCAAGGGGGCGTTAGTTGCCGACCCGATCGAGTGTTTTCATATTCCGTTGCCAGATCGCCCAAGGTCATTTTCATTAAGCCAATCCACCGGACCCTATACAGCTAACCAGGCAAACAAATTTATCTACCACGTAGGCTGGCTTGTCTGTGAGCATCAGGATTGGGCTAGGTCCCACGCAGTCCTGTGACAGAACTTTAAACTTCGTAGGTGTAAAGCGCAAGCCAAACAGTGCGGCAGAATTATTTAGAATATTTAAAATGATTTGTACGCTTGAAGAATTTGAGCCAAAAAGAACGACATCGTCCGAACGCGCAATATCTGTGACTGAACGTTCCAAGTGCATCTTGACCCTTGGGGTTTCAGAGTCAGGTAGAGAAACTCCAAGCACCACATCAATAAGAAAGTTGAGGAGGAATGACGAGAAGAACGACATCGAACGCGCAATATCTGTGACTGACCGTTCCAAGTGCATCTTGACCCTTGGGGTTTCAGAGTCAGGTAGAGAAACTCCAACCAAGCCATCAATAAGAAAGTTGAGGAGGAATGACGAGAGGTAGCCTTGTCTTACACTACTGGACACGGCGAACTCAGACGAATTCCTTCTGTATACTCGTGCACAGGAGTTCGCACACGGAGCTCTCTTCGAGGATATAAGTATGGAAGGAACACACTTGATCGCCGGATAGCATCAAAGTGTCTGACTATTGAAAGAGCCAAGAGTAGTCCTCACATCGAGAAAAACTGTCAATGCTGGACGTTTGAAAGAGTGGCGCTGTTCAAGAGCTTGTCTCAAGGTAAAAATGCGGTCGATACAACCTCGGCCTGGACGAAACCCAGCTTGACTCTTACGAGTTTGTCTCTCACGATAGTCGATCAGTCTGTGCAAAATAACGCCCAACAGCACCTTAGATGTGACGGATACCATGTTGATACCACGGCGGCGGAGCAGCACTGTATGGCAGCAAAGCATCAATGTTGAACCCTTGATGATCACAATGCCACGATGGTTTTCGCGTGAACACTGGAATCGCGGTTGAGGTGCTGCATTCCACTGTTTCGTCCGACACCTTCCGCAGTGGGGTCGTCAGATGGCCCAAGTGGTTAGAGCGCGAATTTACTGACCGGAAGGTCCGTGGTTCGAATCCGACCCCCGCCACTCGACTTCCCCTGTCTAGGCTTGGGCAACCTGGCAGTATCCCAG